AACTAGTTAGGTGACCTATGTTATACCTAACAGGAGACCTCTGATCTATTGTAACAAAAATGCCAATTTGCATAGGAAAAAGAACTTAGCAAATATAAGAAAAACCATGGAATATTTATTATTCTAGAGAAAAATGTTTGAGATGATACCAAAGAACTATTATTTTGTTCTCATACATGCAAAAATGTTAACAAAAAGTTTCAGTACATTATATGTTTGAGTTCTGTTTGCATAAATGCTATTCAGTGTGAAGCCTGGCATAGCATATAAACTGAGATAAATAAATAAATACTCCTCAGAATAAATAAATAAAACAAATACATTTGTACTATAATTTTATGTGAAGATTATCTTCATATATTATAATGGAGACAAATGTGACAGGGTCACTTTTAAGTACTTTTAATACTCTTTTATTTTAAATGCAGAATTTTTAAAATAGGTGATCCATTATTAACCCTTCATCTAATATTCTACTGACAATGTGGATGCACTTTAAGAACAGAAATATTTTTTCTACTTCTAATTCCATATGTACCACTGCTCATATTCATCTTGATGAAAACCGGGGCAGCCTTAAAAAAAAAACCCAGCCCTGTAGCCTCATTCCTCTTTCAGTCCCAAGTTCCAGAATACAGGTAGTTCTATTGAAATTGTAATTTTGTGGTAACTCATAATGCTCATAAATTGAGGCATTCATGTTTATGACCAGACCGTGTTTATGGATCCAAATTTACAACAGCTTTATAGTGGTTGTTAAGTAACTTACCGTATTTTTTGTGTTATAAGATGTACTTTTTCATGTGTCTTATACAGCCAATATTGCCAAAGCCCCACCCACCCACCCATCGGCCCCCCACCCTTCGGCCTCTGCCTCCCAGCAATTTGCAGCAAACAACCTGGTCTGTTCTGGGCAGCGGAGATTGGAACAGGCAGGAAATGGGGTGTGCTGAGGCCGAAAACAGGGAACAAAAAGGCCAAAAATGGGATATGGAGGCTGAAAATGGGGCGCGCGATAGACTATGTCAATTCCTGCAGCTTGAAACAGCTGATTGTTGGAGGCTGATTCAACTCACAATCAGCTGCTTGTGCTAATCAGGCTGCGCTGAAGTTGTCCAGGTTGTTTGCTGCAAAGAGGCAAATTGCTGGGAGACAGAAGCAGATTTTTTTTCCCCTTGTTTTCTGCCTCAAAAGCTAGGTGCGTCTTATACTTTGGAGTGTCTTCTGCTCCAACCAAATCCATTCTTCCAAATAGGTGTTTGCCAGAAACTGGCAAAAAATGTTGCAAATCATGGTCACATAACTATGGGATGTTACAAATGTGAGCCAGAGGAAAATGTAAACTAGTTGCCAAGTGTCCAAAATGTGGTCATGTGACTCCAGGACATTAGCAGAACATTTTATGACAGTTGGAAATCTTAAAGCACCTTTTCTAAGGCTATTGTAATGCCAACCAGTTGTTAAATAACTGATTCTAAGTCAAGGATTACCTGTTTATTATTTCATCCATAAGCTAAAGGAAAGCGTAAAGTTCTTTAAAATATTGGCAGCATATAGACTTGTCTTATCTCATGGAAAGATTATGTTAATTACCATACCAGCATAGAAACAGACTCCTTCTTTTAAAAGTGCAACACAGTATGACATCATTTCTAAGGACAAAGGAAAGAATCCTGTAAGGGCCATATATTGCATAGACTGTAGCCAAAGATTATTCTATATTTTCTCAAGAGAGTCATAAGCCAACTAACCAGAATCCTTTACAGCAAGAAAAAATTACTCTCCCACACCATCTCTACCCTGTAACTCCAACAGCGTAAAGACTTCACCAGGACCTGACAACAGTCTTATTCTATAAATCTCACCTTCTTGAAGAAAAAGAAAATAAATTGTTTCACATTTGTGTAAGCTTCACTCAATATAACACGAGGGTGTCAGAGACTTCCCACAGCATTATAAACTTACCAGTCCCTCAGTCAGCCAGTAAAAACACTCCAATTTTTGCATGAGACTTATTCTTTTGCTCCACTAAACCCCCACAAAATATAAACTCTGTGGGGGCTATATAGTATTTTTTACTTGCTTGACACTTAAGTAGCTTTAGTAGAAGAAATAAAATTTAGACATATAGCTATCATCAAGCTAACTCATCCAAGGACAACACAAAACTACAAATTTAACACTGAATTGGATTTCTACACTGAATAATGTTGCCAACAAACTGAAATCATAGTCATCAATAAAAAAGGTATTCTTATTCAACAATGTCTGCAGGGCAGAATGAGACATCATCCAAGGTCTCAAGAGCATCAGCAATATGATAATTAAATAAACTGACACAGAAAGGGCAATTGTCATTATGAATCAGATGGATTATTCGAGGAAAGAGTTCTCCAAAACTATATTATGTCCTCAGAACCTCAGCAATTTAATGAAAATAACTAGTAAATGCACTTTCCAGAAGACATACAAGACTATATCTGTAGAAAAATATCACATGATCCTTCATAAGCATTTTGTACCTTGTTTTCAAAAAGTATACATACCTGATCATCCCATTGACTCAAACATTGTAACCATCACAGCAGCAATTTAGCTTTTATGGATTCTGTATTTAGACCTTATGCTACTAGCACTCACAGGTGTATAAGAAACAACAAAGCCTCCCTAAGTTGGATGGTAGCTGGATGCTGATGGACTATAAACATCTCTCCAAAATTTGGACTTTGAGCCAACAGGAACATAACCACTGAAGTCTGTGAAGATTCTCAGACATCCAGGTCATAGTTGTCCCCAAGGTGCTTTTTAAAGAGGCAGCTGTTTTCTTGTTTTTCTTTGAAGACATTTCACTTCTCATCCAAGAAGCTTCTTCAGCTCTTACTGGATGGTGAGGAATGGAATGGAAATTCACACAGGAAGATGTTAAGGAAAATAGTCTAGTCTTCCTGTGAAGTACACATTAAAGAAGACAGAAGCCTTAATATTGAAGCCTACAGAAAGAGAAGAAAACAATAAATGAAGCAATGTTGTCATTCCATACATTGCAGGAATATCAGAAAAGCTCAGGGGGATCTTCAGCCAATACAACATACGTGCACACTTCAAACGCAAGAGTATACAAAGGCAGAAGCTTGTCCACCTCAAGAATAAAATGCCCAGACACAAACTGGGCAACATGTTATATGCAGTAGAATGCAGTGAGACATATGCAGATCTGAACATTGGGGAAACGAAACTTCATAAATACATGGCACAATATAGAGAAAAAACTCATCAGGACAAGATTCAGCAGTCCATCTGCACTTAAAGGCCACTCTTTTGAAGACAGCAAAGTCCACATTTTGGACAGAGACGATTGCTGGTTTGACAGAGGGGTCAAAGAGACCATCTATGTCAAACTTGGATAGAGGGGGAAGGTTATGACAACATCCATTTCCAGTCTACAACAAGGTCCTTTTAACAGTTCCAAGAAGGCTCCGCACCCATTTGCATTACTTAGATGACCCTAACAGCACAAATAAACCTCCAAATGCCCTTAAAGAATGCAAATGGCATCTGTCTGCAAGGAATATAGATCCTTCCATTCTCTACCATCCAGTCAGAGCTGAAGAAGCTTTTTAGATGAGAAGCAAAACGTCTTCAAAGAAAAACAAGAAAGTCCAGTTGCCTCTTGAAAAAGTACCTTTGAGGTAACCACTGAAGCCAGCATAGCAACCTAAACTTCTCCCTAAACTATATAATTTTGCATTCATCCAAAGCTACATTATGGTTACCAATGACATAAGGTTGCCAACATCTTCATGGTTGACCTAGAATAGTAATTTCTCAACTTTTGCCTCTGAAATCTCTCTTGTACTTGAGATACATTGATGACATTTTTATCATCATGAAAAAGATTCATTAATCTCTAAAAATTCAGCAACTTCTGTCCCATCATCAGCCTTAGCCACTTGCTTGATGTCACAGAAAAACTACACAATAGACATACAAACTTCACATTGCACAGAAAACATATCTATCTCATGCATATCTAGGTGCTTCCAGTTCCCATCTAGTACATACCACTAAATATCCAGGCTCTATACTACAACCATATTTGTTCTGGCCTACTTGACAGATATGTACCAACTGATGGATATAAGCCAAGCACATAATGAACAAGATCAATAGGCAAATCAATTGAGCCAAATCCATTTCTAGAGGGCACTTATTAAAAGACAAGTCACAATAACAGAAAAGAACGCTACTGGTTGTTGCTTACAGCTACCAGCTTGAGCACTCTGTTGTGTAGAAACTACAATCTACTGCATAGTAATGTAGTTTTATAGAACTACATTACTACTGCGTAATGACACTGCAGTTCCTTAGCAATATATAGCAGATCCATACTTGAATACAGACAAGATATCCAATCTGTCCAGACAAAAATCTAAAGTCCAAGTGTTGTGAAATTAAATGGTTTTTATCATCGTACTTCTGGTTAGCATTCATGGATGTACTCTGCAAGTTTTCTACCTTTTCCTATATAATAGCTGATTCAGTCCTCACATTGGATGTTGTAGATGACTCCTGTTCTTTCTTCTTGGGCTATTGGATCTTTTGATTTACTTAAGATGTTTTGGAAAAGCAACCCTAAGCTGCATATATTGAAACTGATCATCATATTAATGAAAGAGTTCAAAATGATATCATGCCATTTGTAGTAAGGCTTGAAAAGATTTTTTAAAAATAAAAGCTAAGCTACAGTTTAGCTAGAATGAAAACAAACTGTAATGTATAATATTGTTATATTATATAATTTTATAAATGAATTTTATAAATGAAATAAATAAGAGGTTAATAATTTGGATTATACAAGGTCTGTAATTAAACTAAAGATTTAAGCTAAAATGTCTAAATTCATATGGATGGAAGAACAGAAATTTAGTTTGGTTTTCAGTAATAATTGCAATAGTTTGTTTTGTAATGTTTTTTTTTCTTCTTCTTTTCTTTTTGGGTAGATCAATGGGGGAGAAAAAAGACCTGCCTCTGACATGGGAAAGAAACCCAAAACTCCCAAGAAGAAGAAAAAGAAGGATCCTAATGAGCCACAAAAACCTGTTTCTGCCTATGCATTATTTTTCCGAGACACTCAAGCAGCTATTAAGGGCCAAAATCCAAATGCTACTTTTGGCGAAGTTTCTAAAATTGTAGCATCTATGTGGGATGGCTTGGGAGAAGAGCAAAAACAGGTAAAATGTTGTGCAGTTTTTGAAATTATCAATTCATTTACCTTTTATTTTTAGAACATTTTTATCATTAAAACAAGTTCTCGTTATACCCATATATCCAAGAACCAAATTTCTCATTAGATGTATTGACTTATTATCTTCAGGCTAGGGTTAAAGAAGTGGGGGGGGGATCACATATGCATGTATTATATGTTACTAGATGGTCTAAGAATTTTCTTGTGAATTGGAATGCTTGATTTGGAGATAACTATTTTTTGAAAATTGTGAATATGACAGGCATCCAAATTTTTCAAAATTGACCTTGTTGAGTCAAAGCTGCATTCCATTCAATACAGGAACAGGATGATATCATACTCCTATCAGAAAAAACAGAATAACAGTTGGGGACCTTCTAATCCTATTCCCTACTCAAGCAGGATACTCTGTATGGCTTCAGACAAATGGTTATCCAGTCTCTTCTTAAAAGCCTCGTTTTGGAGCACCCACAGCTTCTGGAGCTTCAAATTATCCTTGCATAGATAACCTATGTACATTTGATTCACTGTGGAAACAGAATGTTGAGCAGATTGAGTCTGTATATATTTTTATTATATGCTTACACTTGTTGGTGTTTTGAAAATTAACATAGGTCCATGTCAAAAGTAGCATTGGTTTTCAGTACTCTTTTCTATGACTTTACATTTAAATTCCATAGTACTTAATATCAGTGGCCTGTTAAAGATATATTTTTCAGATGTTTTCTAATAGTTTTTTTGCAATTCCAATTGAATATGATTACTGGTTACTCTTCCCCTTTTGCATATTAATGCTTTATATGCATACATTTTAATAAAACATACATGGATGAAGGTTTCCTACTTTTTATTTTGAGGCTATCCTTGTAAATCCCATTCTAATATTTCTTTCATTTCTACCAAATATAACTTCAGTACTAACGGTAAAGTAATAATTAAAACAATTTCACCTTGATTTAATTAGTGCTTTTTTCTGTCTATAGTGCCTGAGAATAATCATAATATTTTGAGATTTTCTAATAGTTGTAATGACTCGATATATATATCAGTTAGATTGTGTTTTGTAAATGAGTTTGCTTAATAATACAATAATTTAGCCCTGAATGTGAACAAATCACATTATAATTTTTCACCTACTTGATTGTTAGGTTAAGAAAACAGTTTTATCAGATAACTGAGTTTTTATCATTGCTTTGGTTTTTAAAAAATCAGGACAATTCTGTTTTGAAATAGATACGTTTTGTAAAACCAAAAAATGAGTGTTAAAAAAAGAAAAATATCAAAATGAATGGTGTTAATGCAATGAAAATTAATTACATCTACAGAACAATTAAAGAGCCATGTGAGTGATCTGCACTTCATTGCTATAATAAGAATGAATTAACCAAATGGCACCAGCATGTGGACAAATTTATCACAAATATTGTTAGGCAAATGCCTCTGACAGCATTTTTTCAATTACAGGCTTGAAACTGTCATTGAGGAAGTTGCATTGTTAGCTAATTGAAAGGAAAATAGGGTTTTCCTAGAAAAGCTTTCAGAAAACATTTTGGATTCAGTTTAGCATTTTAGCTTTAGCATTAGTTCCTCATGTGCAGCAAGGGATATCTAGTATTTTCAGCTTTGGGCATGTAGATCAGCATCTTCCCATGTGATGTTTAAAGTCTTGAAGTCATCTATGAACATTCTTAGCCATGTATTTCAAGGGCATCCTCTTGGTCATTTGGCATTGGGAACTCATTGCTATCTTGGGAATTTGATTATTCTCCATGCAGAGTACAAGACCTACAAGTTGGAGTCTCCTGCATGTGACAATGTTATGTAATTTGGAGGAGAAACTCTTTTACAGCACATTCTTCATTAGTAACATGGTCAAAATAGTGAAAATATAATAGGGTTCAGTTTAACTCCTGTAAAATTATTGCTTCTTCTAAATATAATTTACATATCAAATAATAAAGAATTAGCATCTTTCTTGGTTTTTTGTTGACCTCGAAAGGATGGAAGACTAAGCCAACCTTGAACCACTCAGGATCAAACTTCTAGCAGTGAGCAGAGTCAGCCTGCAATACTGTATTCTGACAACTGTGCCACCACAGTTCTGCATTCACTCAGCACCCATTAATTTTTGATCATATTTTTCCCCTCATGCATACTTTAGGTACCTTATTCCCATGGAATTCTACTATGACATTTTTTTTTATTTATCCAGTCCTCATTCTCATGTAACAAAGTGGGCAGTAGCATACTCTTAAACACAGCCATTATCAATTAATTCTTTGCAATTGCTGTACTGCTTTTCTATCAGCACGTTGCATGCCTTAGAACAGTGGTTGCCAACTGGTGGGCCATGAGAAAATTTTGGAGGGCCGCAGAGAAATCTCACCCCCAGAGCACCCCTACAAAGCAATTAATCCAAGCTGCGTGGAAACACAAGGCTGCACTGCCCACATGGCCCGCGGGAACCCTCCCCACCCACTCACTCCTTACCCAGTAAACTTGCCTGCTAAATTGTTATTTTTCCTTTTTCCGACCATCATCTGTTCTGCTGTGCCAGGAGATTTAGATTAGCTAGGAAGCAGGAAATGGTTGGATTTCTTGCTTTCTAGCTAGTCTTTAGATCTTTGGCTCAGCACAGCCAAACCCCCCTTAGGACTGAAGGTTTGCTTGCAAGCAGATCCAGTGCAGACTCACAACAAGCAAATTTGAGAGATTGAGCTAGCTGATGGCTGATAGATAGATCACTGAATGATTCTGTGAGCAAGTCAATCTTCCTGCTTTGCCTGATTTTGGGTAAAAGTTGCTCTTTTTATAAAAAAAATCAATATTTACATGCATGGTGTGTTGTGAGCTAATTTTGTGAGTTTGCTTGCTAGCTAATTTTATGAGTTTGCTTGCAAGCAAATTTTATGTGACAGACTGAGCTAGCCAATGGCAGATAGATAGATCTCTGAATGAATCTGTTATCCTGTGAGCAACTCAATCTGCCTGCTCTGCCTGATTTTGGGTAAAAGTTGCTCTTTTTAATAAAAAATTCAATATTTATATAAATATTTATAATATTTACATACAAGCCATGCCCAGCCAGTCGCATGACCAAGCCACACCCACAAATTAGGCCACACCTACGGAACCGGTTAGTGATCCCTGGGATCTAAAATTATGAGTTTGATGGTCCCTGAGGTCCAAAAGGTTGGCGACCCCTGCCTTAGAACACTCCTTCCAGTATTCATTCACTTCAGTTTCTTTGCATTTCATTGCTTTTATTTTTATTCTCACTGCTGAAAGCATCTTGCTTTATCTTCTTTACACTTTTCTCAAATCATTTTTTATTTCTTTCAAAATTTATGACGATGTTTCTTTTTTTTAAAAAAAATCACTTTTTATGTCAGATTCTCTTTGCTCTCCTTTGGTCTTTGTGCCTTTTTTCTTTCTGCTTACATACTATTAAAAATTCCTTATTTTGTGGAGCTCATTAATTCTATTAGAATGCATGGTTTTCAGCAATGAAGTCTTCTATAGAATGCTTTTTAGTAGGAGAAACTATAAACTAGGTTATTACTTATTAATATTACAATAGTAATGTATTACATTACATTGCAGCATAAAGAAAGTACTGATCAGTTGGGGGCTTATTTTGGCCAACATAGCATAAATGCAACCAAAGTCCAGTTTTACCCTAAGCAACTCACTGCATTCTGTGTAAGCTAGGATCTCTACTTTTTACTGTTGCTACCTTCACTTCACCCATCATATGCAGTGTCCTGATACCCATTCTAAGTATGAATTAATTTGCCTCTTGTTTTTTAGAATTTACGCACAAATCATTGCAGACAGTTCTTTCAAGTGTTTGCCAGATATGTTTATGCTAATTGATGAAAACATCCAAGGGTTTCTCATTTTCCAGCTGTGTTTATTTCACTACTATGCCGATTATTAAAGGAAATCTATGTTAATCACTACAGTTTGACAGTTTCTGTTCTAAACTATAGAGAAACCAATGTGTAATGCATTAAAGAACGTGCAATAAAGCAAACATAAACATTTGCTACATCTTTTCATATGATTCAAACCTTAAAGTAAAATTCAAACAATGATCAATTCTCCATTAATTTAAACCAAGCAACCTTGAGGATCTGCCAGATAAATTATTCTGTTTAGCCATTATTATTATTTGCTAGTAAATTAAGAATACTTAGATTGATTTAGCAAAGTTGCAAAAGGATGTATTGAGGAATTTGTTTCTTCTACTGATTTTGTGTGTGTGTGTATAAAATCAGTATATACATCACACACGTATCCACGCACAGTAGTTTTTATTGCTTAAAGTGAGATGATGAGCTAAATGTATTATTTATGCTTACATATAGGATTATTTCTGTAAAATGTAAACATTTTATATTCTAGTATGTTAAAAGTTTGTTTCAGGCTATATAAAAAATACTCAGCCTTTTCCTCTCTTTTTTCCTTTATTATGCCAATTCTGACTTTCCAAATTAAAATTATGTAGGATGGAACCAAAAATAGACCTAGAAGGCTGGCTAGAAGGAAGTAAATGACCATATAAATCCTTATTGGAGGTAACCAATAATAGATAACAGTGTTTATATGTGGAAATCGTATATAGTAGATCTACCATGTTTGACTGGTAGGCAGGTGTCAGTATGAACAGTGTGATGAGATTGCATTTGTGGGTGATCAGCATGGATTGTTTCTTGCATATATTTAAGTGGAATGTTGTTGGGATCTACTGTGCATCCCACCTTTCATTTCTGAAAATATACAAATTTATATAGGGCCTTTGGTTTCCCCTTTAATCCTATATTTATATTCATGTGAGGCTTTGAATATTTTTTTCATAGAAACTAAGGGTTATTGACCTTGTGCAATTTTGCTCTTTTTTTGTTTTTTGTTTCTTCTTGCTCTGTCTTCATAGTAGGCCCTTTTACACTCAATTGTTTCTAACACATTTTCTTTAGGGTTTTT